GGGAGAAGAGACCAACGCCCACCTCGCTACAACCTCCTTTCAGGGAGTTGTAGAGAGCGATGAGGTCTCCCCTCAGCCTCCTTTTCTCCCGGCTAAACAACCCCAGCTCCCTCAGCCACTCCTCATAAGACTTGTTCTCCAGCCCCCTCACCAGCCTCGTTGCCCTTCTCTGGACACGCTCCAGCACCTCGACGTCCTTCTTGTAGTGGGGGCCCCAAAACTGAACACAGTATTCGAGGTGCGGCCTCACCAGTGCCGAGTACAGGGGCACGATCACTTCCCTACTCCTGCTGGCCACACTATTTCTGATACAGGCCAGGATGCCATTGGCCTTCTTGGCCGCCTGGGCACACTGCCGGCTCATGTTCAGCCGGCTGTCGACCAGCATCCCCAGGTCCTTTTCCACCAGGCAGCTTTCCAGCCACTCTTCCCCAAGCCTGTAGCGCTGCATGGGGTTGTTGTGGCTGAAGGGCAGGACCCAGCACTTGGCCCTGTTGAATCTCATACAGTTGGCCTTGGCCCATCGATCCAGCCTGTCCAGGTCGCTCTGCAGAGCCTTCCTACCCTCGAGCAGATCAACACTCCCGCCCAACTTGGTGTCATCTGCAAACTTACTGAGGGTGCACTCAATCCCCTCATCCAGATCATCGATAAAGATATTAAACAAGACCGGCCCCAAAACTGAGCCCTGGGGAACACCGCTCGTGACCGGCCGCCAACTGGATTGAACTCCATTCACCACAACGCTCTGGGCCCGGCCGTCCAACCAGTTTTTGACCCAGCGCAGAGTCCACCTGTCTAAGCCGTGAGCCGCCAGCTTCTCTAGGAGTATGCTGTGGGAGACGGTGTCAAAGGCCTTACTGAAGTCCAGGTAGACCACATCCACAGCCTTTCCCTCGTCCACTAGGCGGGTCACCTGGTCATAGAAGGAGATCAGGTTGGTCAAGCAGGACCTGCCTCTCACGAATCCGTGCTGGCTGGGCCTGGTCCCCTGGTTGTCCCGCTCATGCCTTGTGAGTGCCCTCAAGATGAACCGTTCCATAATCTTCCCCGGCACCGAGGTCAGGCTGACAGGCCTGTAGTTCCCCGGATCCTCCTTCCGGCCCTTCTTGTAGATGGGCGTCACATTGGCAAGCCTCCAGTCGTCCGGGACCTCCCCCGTTAACCAGGACTGCTGATAAATGATGGAGAGTGGCTTGGCGAGCTCCTCCGCCAGCTCCCTCAGCACTCTCGGGTGGATCCCATCCGGCCCCATAGACTTGTGAGTGTCCAGGTGGCATAGTAGGTCATTGACTGCTTCCTCTTGGATTATGGGTGGTTCATCCTGCTCGCCGTCCCTGTCTTCCAGCTCATGGGGCCGAGTACCCTGAGGATAACTGGTCTGCCTGTTAAAGACAGAGGCAAAGAAGGCATTAAGTACCTCAGCCTTTTCCTCATCCTTGGTGACAATGTTCCCCCCCGCATCCAATAAAGGGTGGAGATTCTCCTTGGCTCTCTTCTTGGCATTAATATATTTGTAAAAACATTTTTTGTTGTCTTTAACGACAGCAGCCAGACTGCGTTCTAGCTGGGCTCTTGCCTTTCTCATTTCCTCTCTGCACGACCTAAGGAGATCCCTGTACTCTTCTTGAGTTCTTCTAGAAGTAGAATGATGTGGCTTCCCTTAGGGTAATTTCTTCTTAAAATGTGCAGAAGCAGGTTTTTTAAGCAGATCTTTAAATTCAGGTGGAAAAAAGATCTTCAAAATCAGTGACTGCCCTGCGTCTTCACTTAGGATCGCTTTCTTTTGCTGGTTGACTGGCACCTTGCTTTTGATTTGAAACATGTGCTGTTAGGTATCTCCAGACTGCAGAGAGAACAAGCTTAACTTCAGAGGGAAACGGAGACTGTAAAGATGCTCTAGCCAAGGATGTAAGTTCAAAATCTGCCTGATTAAACCTAGCCTAAGGGAATTTTGTCCCTGCTTACGAATGGTCTACCTTCATCTGCTGCGGTAACTTTTCTTCTTTTTAGCAGATTCGCTTGTAGCGTGTTTGGCAGTGATGCATTGACCCTGTCCATATTAAAAGATGCCATTGATAAACCAGCAGAGAATATGCAGAACCTTTTTGTTCAAGTGTGCAGTGTGGATCCTGCAGCCTTACTGCATGTAACACTAGCAGGGCATGTTTCTTTCAACAGCTGTAGAAAACTGATTGAAGCTGGTCCTTTCCATATGCTTGCCTCGGCAGGGAATTAAAGCTTCAGGCTGCCAGCTTTGTGTGGAGTTTTTAAATATGTATGACCCAAACAAGGGGCCTGTTGAGAAAGGCTCTAATCCTCTTGCATATGAAACCTGGTATTCTGCTCTTCTCTCTTTGTGATGTTTCTGTGCTTTCAGATAGGTTAAATCTACCTTTGAAGTTTCATTTCTTCTTGTGTAAAATATACTTTAATAGGTGAACCTTGCAGCTGGGAATTAGGAGATACTGGTTCAAGCTGGACACAATGAGCAGTTCACGTAATCATCCTTTGCCTTGGTTTCCCTGTTTGTAATGCAGAAAGAGTAATGTCCACCCTCCTGTACGCAGCTCTTTGAGCTTTGTTCTGGGTAACTAATTTAGAAGCCATAATGTAGTGTAGAACTTCTGCAGTCTGGCGTGAAGCCCTGCTGGAAGGTATCTGTCTGGGGATGCTACAAATCCATAGGTAAGGAGTAGAGGCTTCCCTGTTTCTGATCAGGAATTCACAGGCAGAAATATATCTGCAGGCTGAAGAGATCAGATCAGCTGTGTGGGTGCAGGGAGTCCTGCCAGTCCTACTTGCACAGTCAGAAAATCTGTGTCTTAAGCGAATCTGATGATTTATTGCCTGTCATCTGTATGCCAGTGATCCTTATGTGTAAAGCCCTGATTTTCCAAGAACATTTGCGTATAACGGCAGACTAACCGTTTAGCTGCAAAGACACAAATGACTGCAAGGTGGGTGAGAACTCATGGAGCCAAAAACTCTTTTCATAGAAGGCTTTTTTCATGCAAGGATCTCAGGGAGGCTGAACTTTTCTGGCCTCCCTCTTGAGGTGAAGTGTATAGGTGTTATGTGCCACTAGGACCTGGGGAGCTATGGAGGATCAGGAGCAAGACAGATTTTAAGAGATGGGAATCTCTTAGAGGCATATGTAGCAGTCCTTCCCCTGGCTGGGCCAGGAACTAGGGGATGTCTGTCCTGTAGGGCGACTAATTCCTTCTGATGGCAGAAATATTTGGAGTAGAGGGAGGAAAAATGCGAGCTGTTTTCAAAATGAAAATGCTTTGTGCTAAGGTGCAGCAGGTTGGCCATCGTTTCCCTTTGTAAGGGCAGCGTGTCTAAGACACGTTCAATTTTGGCATCTCTTGGAAGGAAATCTGAAAGGCTTTATCCATGCAGAATACAGTGATTCTCTGCTTAAATAGGATTTGATCCCATAGCCAGACAAAAGCTGGAGTATTGAGTTTTGCTGTGATAGACCTCCCAGGAGCCACATATACCTGTTTAAAAACCCAAGTAACCTGCCACAAAACTGTCCAAGAGAGATCGTTATAAGACAGCACAGTTATAAAATACTCTGAAAGGCTGAATAGGGTTTTTCCCCCTCTTGTGATATTTGGAGCTGAACTTCAGATACATCATTTTGAACATGGCCTTTTAAAGTAACTTTCTATTCTGTCCCTGTCATTTTTGGAGCTGTAAAGGAAAGCCAAAATACCAGGGAAGGGGAGCAAATGGAAAGGGGGAGCGGGGCTAAAGAGTAGGTTTTGATCATCTTTGCAAGAAGTGACATCATCTATGAGAACAAAAGTCTTCAATCGCTGCAACTGGAGACAGCTTTTAGTCTCCAATTCTATTTTGCCCCAAGCCAGCCAGCCAAATAAAAACAGTGAGATAAATCACTGCTGGCAGAACTTAACAGTTATGCAACATCCAGTGCACCATGCACCATGCACCTATTTTTAGATCAGTTTTACACTAGCAGAATTTACTTTATGAAATCTGAAAAGAATGTCTGGTCAGAGGCCGGGGGATAAAGAGGGTATTTAGAAAGTGCAAAATGTAAAAATACTTAGTACAAAGATGCGCTAGCAAACCCCACTTCAGCAACACCGATACCCTTTCAAGAGTGTTGGCTCGATCAGGCGTGGAAGTGAAGAGTAGAGGGGGTTTTCATCAGTATTCCCTTGAATTTCTAATCTGCAATTGCTTTTTAAATGGTTGACAATACTCACTTTACCCAAATAGCTAACTGTATGTGGTTTACTTAAAGCTGGGCTCCCCCACCGTTTATGCTGTACTTTGTCTTTACCAGATCTGGAATGCAGTAAGCAGCAGCTCACCTCCTTACAGTACTGGCTGGTCAGATTTAAAGAAATGGTGTTAATTGGAGTGCTCTGCAAAGCTGGCTGAGCTACAGAGATACTCCTCATCCTTTGTGAGATACCCTAGATTTCATGAGCTCCTGATAATTAGCTGGTATATGTTTCACGTATGTTTTCTCAGTCTTCAGTGAATTAGGATTGCGTATGCTGCTTGCTCCAGATCAAACTGAATCTTTTTTGGTGTTCACAGGAACATACACTGAGTTGTATTTCATTAGTTAAAAGCAATTTCAGCTTGCAGCACAGGTATGAATAACTGAAGATTAGTCTCACATACTGTGCTCTTTATCCAAGACCAGATGTGCATCTTCTCTCCTTTAAATTTGACTTTATCCTCTTACTCACTGTTGTAATTCTCCGTTAGTTTGTACCGTGTATAATTTTGTTCCCAAAGTTTTTTGCTCAGATTCAGAACAGATAATGATTGGGAAAAGTTTGACCTTTCAGCCTTTAGAGATTCTAGCAGATAAAACGTGCTCTGCATAGCTAACGTATCTTCGGGATGTCTGCCACAATTTGGACAGTTTTCAATCACGCCTTGAAGCGAATTAGCGTTCTGACCATTGCATGATCTGTATTGATCTTTTTTCCTCCAAACCTTTCTTCTAGGTGACAATCTCGATGCTATCCATGACATAACTGTGGCATACCCCCGAAATATTCCTCAGACGGAGAAGCACCTTTTGAATGGAAACTTCCCAAAGGAGATTCACTTCCACGTCCAGAGATATCCCATAGAGACAGTGCCCACTTCTAAGGAGGAGCTGCAGCTTTGGTGCCGGAAGCGTTGGGAAGAGAAAGAGGAGAGACTCCGACACTTCTATGAAGGTGGAAAATGCTTCAGTGCAACAGGGCAAAGCATTATTCCACCGTGTAAATCTGAGCTCAGGGTCCTCACGGTTAAGTGCATCTCGCTCCTGTATTGGACGGTGTTCCCACTGGGTATGCTTGCACTACTGTACCTGTACAGCTTTGCACGATGGTATTTTGCAGCCATGATCATCTTTTTTGTTGTGCAGCAAAAGATATTTGGTGGGCTGGAACTAATTGAACTCGCTTGTCATCGATATTTTAAAAAGCAACAGAAATTTCACGACACGAAAACTAAAAACAATTAGTTCTAGGGTAGAGAAAGATGTAAAAATGGGTGGTTTTGAGATGTCCTGCAAATTTTATGCACAGGGAAGAATTTTTGCATGAGAATTGTCTTTTACTATCACCATTGTTAGACATTTGAACTTGATTCTGTGAAGAGAGAGAAAAATGTTAGTTATTGCTACACGTGAAAATGGTAGTTTTTATCTCTGAATGTAATTTCAACATTGCTCTTGCAAGCAGCTAGCAACTGCATTCTGCTGTAATTAAGAAACAAATTGCTGGATTACTGAACAATCGTAAGGATGTTAATAAATGTGACCTGCACTGAACTTTCATGTAGAAACCCAAACTGTCCAGCTAAGAGAGACAGATGTATGAGTTCTGTATAGTCACATTGTTGTGAAGTAAGCACCAGACTTGGAAAGCTGGTAAGTTTAACGATGTTTTGATGGTAGGTGGAAGTTGGAGGAGAAGTTGTTCTGTTTCTTTTTTCTATTTCAAATATTCAAACTTATTTTAAAATAATATTTTTGCATAAACTTTTCCAAACATTACTGAACCTACCACTATTCAACCATTCTGGCTTGGTCACTCAGAAGGATTTTTAAGCCTTGCAGTCTTGTAGTACAGAAAACAGTGCTGGCTCTGCCTCCATTTAAGTCTTAACTGATTATTTAATAGACCTATGCAGCTAAGTTTTGATTTCTCACTGTTTCACGCTGTTTCGGTCTCCCTGTTAGCTGTGGGAGACTTGTTCCTACAGTAGTATACAGAGCTGCGGGATAGGGGAGCTGTTTTTTTGTTGTTTTATTGGTGTTTTTTTCTCGTAGAGGCAAAAATAAGTGTCTGTCTCTGAGTAGCTGGCAAATATTTTTCAAAAAGGTGTCCTTGTAGTCATTATTTGATCGAAAACATTTTATTTATTTTTCAGAGTAGGCAGGATATCTTTTTTTTTTGAAGCATTTATTTTGGTTTTCACATTGTTTCCTTAGGCATTTCAAGTGTCCATATAGATAAGCAGGAAGACTGCTTGTTCCATGCGTGTCAGCCAAACCTGCTGAAATGCGTCTGATGCAATGGCTGTCTCCTTATAGGTACAAAAGATGGGTTTCAGACTTATCATAGCACAGGGAAATTGAGCTACCTCTTCCCTTTGCAGTGTTCTCTTTGATTGCCTGACGACATCATTGCTTTTCCAACCTCCTTTGCAATTTTTGGGGCGTTCTTTTGGGGCTCCCACTATAACGCTTTCCCTTATTTTCATGACGTTCAGAAAATCTGAAGGCTTAAACTCAGACAAGGCACTTTCAAGTGTATTCCTTGTCATATATAATAAAAGTAATGTTCATGCTAACATAGTAAAAGACATAAACGTTGCCAGCGCTTAGGAGACACTTCAGGTTAGATTTGTTTTTCAACCTCAGAAATGTTAGACCACTTGATCAACTGTATTGCTGCAAAACCTTCCTGACTTACTAAATATTTGTTGTTCATTGCATGAAGGCTTGTCTGAGCTAAACCGAGATGGCCCGGCTCCATATGTTGAGTGGCATTGCCATGAAATGTGAAAGTACAGAGCGCAAAATGTATCTTGTACTGTGCTGAGTATCTCAAGCATTGAGTCGGCATGGTTAGACACATCTATTTTCTTCTAAATTATAACACTAAACATGTTGTCTAATGTGTTTATATCAAAGGCCATTTTTTAAATGAATCACCAGCCTCTATTCAACTGTCCCTTGCAAGGTGACAAGTATTTTTTAATCTATGCTTATAATAACTAATTGTTTATTATGTGGAAAGTACTTGAAGCCATCTGTTTTACTCTAATTTTTTTAATCCCTTTTTTCTTAAAAATAAATAAAACTAGGTTTATATTTAGGGTTATGTTTCTTAATGATTTTTTCATATTTATATTTGAGTACCTGATGACTGACAACTGGTGTTTCATTGTCACGAGTGGAAGGAGGTCCTTTCTGCACTATGAGGACTTTTTTTAACGTAATTCTGTGATATCAAAGGCATGGTTGCAGCTTAAATCTACATAGCCTGGTTCTTCTTCGCCTGATACTCTGCTTTGGTGCAGTTCCCTGCACATCCAGGTAACTCGCTGCAAGGGAAAACCTAAAAACCTCATTTATGGTTAATGCAGAGGAGGCCTAAAAGGCTGCTTCTAGTCTGTCCTGAGCCATGGCTGTGCTTTCATACCAGGAGTAACCATGGCCACCCTACTCCAATAGCCTTAACATAGTCTTCAGGAATGACTTCGGAGGACAGGTTATATATGTTGGTGACGTAAATACCAGCTTTTCTCAGTCGTTCAGAGAACTTTGTGGTATCATCAAATGTATCGGAAACATCGGTGTGAGTCTTGGTCATGGAGCGGTGAAAGGTTTACATCTGTGTGTGATTAGCGTTGGGCTCTGAAAATGAAATCAAATGCAGTCCATCATTGACCCTTACAAGGGGTTTTCTCCCAGCTGGAGCCAAACACGTAACCTACTGTAATGTGGTAAACATCCTGCAAATCTGTAATTCATCCTCCTCTGTCATGTATTCTGATTGAAGAGAAAGAATAATCTTCTTGTCAGCTGCTAATGTCACGTTTGCAGTGCCCGACTCCATGATGCGGGGCGGCACATGGTAAGTGAAGAATCCTCCTCTCACAGGGAAGGGTGTTGGCTTTGGGACTGATGTAAATTTTCAGATTATGTGCATCATTTTCCAGCTCAGTTAGAAATGCAAGACAGGAGAAAAAAATGGAATAAAAAGAAAAAGCTTTGTGGATATAGAAGCTTCTTTGTTTAGAAAGTGGCTAAGGAACTTGGGGAAGATCTTTCTGTGAATGCTTTTTTTCCTCTTTGGTCAAAATGTAGCTTTTTATTCAAAAAGTTCTAATATACAGATTTTTTTGAGACTATTTTGTTCTTACCCTGTTTCCCTATCCAAAATACACTAAGATGGCACTTAGGGACATGGTTTAGTGGTGGACTTGGCAGTGTTAGGTTTACGGTTGGACTCGATGATCTTAAAGGTCTTTTCCAACCTAAATGATTCTATGATTCTGTACTGGGTCAATCACTTTGAAATGTTTTCAATGCTGGTAGGTTAAAGGTGCTAGTACTCCAGGAATCACACACACCCCCTCTTTCATGGGGCGCGTATATTGGCACAGAGACTTGTCTCACTCATTAGCATGTTTGTCACGGCTCACCTTCTCTCGTAGTCCCAGCAGCCACACTGCTCAGCAGCGACTGCTCTGTCTACGGGACCTACAGGTCTTGCTAGGCGTTGCTCATGTTATTTGAGATCAATGATGTGCTTTAAGGACACTGCTCTTGTTTGCTCAATCAAACGTTTCCCCATCAGCATCAGGGGTTTCTTTCTCTTTGCTCAGAACAGAAGGTTGAAATCCTGCCATCTGTGTTTGTCATCAAGCTCACCTGGGTAGCAGGACGTCAGACCAAGACATTTCTCTCTTGGCTTCAAAGCTGCAAGGCCTGAAGCTGGTCTGTAAGGTGTTGTCTTGGTCGTGTGAAATGTAGTTCCTAGTTTTGTGCATTGCATCAATCTCTGTTGTTTAAAAAAGATCCGTGTTTTTATAACTTGATTTTATATGTACACTGCGTGAAAGGAAACACCAGGATACTACAAACCTACAGAAAGCCTTAGTTTTCAGAGTCCACTGATTATATTAGAATGTTTTAACCATGTACCAGTTACTCTGCAGCAACAATAAAGACCTGAAGCATTGCATGTGTTTGATTTTGCTGTTTTCTTTTTACTGCGTGACATATTCTGTATGCACCCGTAAGGAACAAACCTTGTCTTCAATCGTATGGCTGGCTGGCTGGGGCCGACTGCTGTCTGTTCAGGTGCTCGACCCATGGTTTGTGGCTGCTGGGGTGGTATGTCTCCCTTCTCTCCATGGGAGGTTGGAAAGGGGTGGCTGGCTGTAGCCTCCTTCCTAGCCTCTTCATGTAAAGGGATGCGGAAACCTTTGAGTGTGCAAGAGGTACAGCTCAGTTTTAGCCTTGCTCTGCTGCTTAACCAGTGTTGCTTAAGAATAAGCTGTGGTCCGAAAGAGCGTATTAGGTATTGATATGTAGGTTAAGTCCTCCATTTTAGCTATGTCCTGTTACCACCCATGTGATTACTGACACAAGAAATGATCTATGGCACGGTTCACGTTCTTAGAGGACCTGTGTTTAATGTAACTTCAGATCACAGGCTCCTTGATTTATCTCTGCATTGTCCGAAAGCTAATCCAGTGTGGAAGGACAAGGGCTGTGTTTCTTGGGAGCTGCGGTGCTCCTCATTACCTAACGGGGAATAGCTTTGCTGTGACTGCCGCACCCCACAGCAGCCATAGCAAAACACCCACGCCTCCAGCAAGTACCATGTGTCCGAAAGACCATAAGAAACAGAGACCCTGGTAGCAGTTTCTGCCGCTGGAGATGATATTTGCGATGCCTACGTAGGCTCAGAGCATTCAGGTCAGCCCCCAGAGGTCGAAATGAGCCATGCTCTGTATTGAGCGGCTTTGTCTCTCTGACAAGATGGTTGTCACTTCCTCTTTGTTTCCTCAGGGCTCAAATATGCAATGAAAAAATTGATTTGTCTGTCTTACCTGCCATTACAGAAAATAACAGTAATGGAGGTCAAAGCTTTCACCCTCCAGCTGCCCCAGACACCTCCTTTGCAGTTCAATACAACGGGTAAAAGGTTGAGTCTTATTTCCTGAGGACTTTGAATCAGACTGCAAGCTATCTCAACCAAAAATTATTCCCAGGAGCAGGGAGCACGGTCTGTGCTTACAACATGCTTGGGTGACTCTCCCTCATCCTAGGTTTGTGCTGGGGCACACGAGAGGCAGAGAGAGCTCACCTCTGTCCTTGCTGGGCCTCTCCAAAGGCCCAGCATATTTAGCAGGAGCAGTGATAGGCCCTGAATTTTTAAGCAGATGTCTTTGTTTTATTCCAGTCTGGCCTCTGTAGTTCTCTGGAGAGAACTCTGGAGTTCTTCATGTGGGGTGACTGTTTTCTCTGGTGGTGGGGTATGCAGGAGACTGGCAGGAGGAATTTGAGCAAAACTCCGCCTGCGTTTTCTCAGAAAGGCACTGCTGCTCTCAGGAGAAAAGCAAGGGTGTTTGCTCCTTCTGAGATACTTTTCACTGGGCTGCACGAGAGAGGCAGGTGCACAGGGGCTGGTGTGAGTGTAATGGTTTTGGTGGTCAGCACCCTCTTCCCTAAATTTCTCTCTCCATCTTCTTTGTCAGAGGGAGGAAGAGGAGGCGAGAGCCCCTTCACCCTTGTCTGCAGGGAGCAGAGAAGCACCTTCAGCCTTACCAAAGGGAAAAGCTGACGGGGCTCAGGCCTTAGCCTTGCTTCTGTGTCCACAGGATGATACCCAGCAGAGGAGGATAAGCTGCTGCAGGGTGCGAGAGCACAAGAAGGTGCTGCAGGAGGAGCGGGAGGCAATGCTGGGCACTGCTTTTTGCAGCCATAACCTGGCAGTAACATCACCACGTAGTTTTGCCTCCTACCCCCCGGCATTATTTCTTGGCCTGCCTTCGAGGCTTGCCCTGCTGCTTGAGCTGCTGGGTGTCTAGTGAGGAATAGAGGAATGGATGTTTATTAATGCTGAACCCAAAGGGAAGGGAAACATCAGGGAAAATGGGATAGAGGTGCTGGGGCAGGTGTTGGCTCCTGCCAGTGCTGGGTACGGCTGGTTGGGAGTGTGTCATCTTGCTTCAGAGGCTGAAGGAAAAGGTCTACATTAAGAGACTTGTTTACTTAGACATCTTTAGAGAAAGTGGAGAGAGTGAGAACATCCTCCATGGGGTGGTTCACAGCAGGGCCCACGAACCGCCCCGTGGGGAGCCTCTTTATGTTCTTACCTGACAGGCTGCCCACCAGTGCTGGCATCGCCCATGCATCCCTGTAGCTAGTCGGGGTGATACCTCCTCTCTTTCCATGCTCAAGTTGCTCACTTGATGTGCTGGGTTTCAAGACATGCAAGCGGCTCCTCCTGTTTCTTGTCCTGGCAGCTGTGCAAGACCCTGAGTTCTTTAAGGATAGAGTAATCCCTTGCTGTCAGTAAGATTCCCACCAGCAGGCTGGGAAGCTGCCCGGCTTGCCGGGGAAGCTTGCAAAATCACTTGTAACGCAGCGCTGCCTCATGCAATCAGTGCATCGCCTGGCAGCCAGGTGCTTTGTCTCCTCATCACATCTCCCTGGCAAGGAGCTGCCTCATCATCCCCCTCCCCACTGCCGCAGCTAGATTTCCTTCCAGATTATCCACTAAATGATTTGGAGTGGAGATTATCCACTGAAATGATTTGAGTGGAGATTATCCACTGAAATGATTTGAGTGGAGATTATCCACTGAAATGATTTGAGTGGAGATTATCCACTGAAATGATTTGAGTGGAGATGATGTTCACGCTGGTATGTCCACAGGTTTGCTTCCTACAGCTTTGCACTCCTTACCCCAGTGCTGTTCAAAGAGCTCTCTGAAGCTCAGCTCAGAACTCATTTCACTTGAGAAGTGCCCTTTTTATAGCTACTCAAGCGAAGGTCCCCACTTCCCAGGGGCTTTCCTCAGTGCTTTGTGATGGGCACAAAACATCAGAGCCCGTGGATCAGACCCCTCAGCCCATCAGGGTCATGGCGGGGAAACCTTTCTCTGCTGTGAGGGTGGGAGGGGGTCCCCTCCCAGCACTCAGGGTCTGGTTAGATCAGACTACAACCTGCAGTCCTGGCCACAAGGAGGTCAGGAGCTGAGCTCATGCCACTTCTAGCAGGCCTTAACGCCAATCCCCGGCAGAGCAGAACCAGCCATTTAAAGGAAATATGCAAAACAACCTGTTTTTGCAGCAAACGAAACTTCTGGTTCCTTTACTGCTCCAGGCCTTCCTTCTCCTCTCTCCCTCCCAGGAGCAAGAGAGGAGAAGGTTTTGGGACACCCTCTATGTTTCAGTAGCTTAAACCAGGAGAACACCGAAGAAGTGATCCTAGAGCCGTTGTCCCACGTGTATCAAGTTGTGCTGGCCCGGCTCACAAGGCAGGAGTCGAGGACTGCTCGACGCCACAGGCCCCTTGGATTTGTCTGCCCCTGGAGAGACCCACAAGGAGAGGGGCCAGATCCAGTTCCTCACCTACCGCTGGTCTCCTGCATGGGCACGTGCCAGCTGGTTCATCTTGTGGGGCTGCTGCATGAACAATGTGAGATCCTCATGGCCAGCACAAGGACAACGGGACACGGAGCATCATCCTGCAGGACCCCAACGCTTTCAGCCACCAGCTGGAAAGCCGGAAAGGAGCGCTTGGAAAAGGTGCAGCTGTGCACAGACCTGCTGACCAACAGCCCTCAGGTGTCCTTGGTGGTCTTCTCAAAGATGCTGTGGGTAATGTGGGCCAGGGGTAGGGACAGTGCACAGACACCACTTACTGCAAGCCGGGGATGTGTCCAGCACCAGGCACTAACACTCATGTACAGGTTTAAGGCTGCACATCCGTCTGGGACAGGTATTATTCCTGGTCCCCGAGGCCTCAGCTAGGAGCGAGTCCCCCCGTCACGGGCAGGACAGTGCAGGACGCAGCTGACCCGCAGCTGCTGGGATAACAGGCAGCAAATGTCACGTTGCCGGCAGCAGCGAGGACTGGGTATTTTATTTCAGATTCAGTCACTCAGCTGCCTGCCTGTTCCTGTCCCTGGCATGTGCCCAGCACACGTACCCCCCAGAGCATTCATCCTAATAATTCGGTGGGGTTTTGTCTGACACGGGTGGGAGCAGGGATGATGTTCAGCTGTGATCTCTGCTCTCCTCTCTCTGTTCCTGCTCCTGTACCACGTGCAGGGATGCCTGCATGGTCCCAGGGTGCAGAGTGTCTCAGCCCATAGGCCACATGCCCAGCCTGGCTTTAAACTAAGAAGCTGAAGCTCTAGGAGTAGTCTAGCTGCACAGGGCTCAGTGTGGACTACTCCGCCCAGCTCTCGACAGGTAGATGAGTTTACTCTGAGTCCCCTGCTGCCATGGGCAGATAGCTCCCCCGTACAGCAACTTAACAGCCCACTGGGGGATCTTTGCAAGCCTCTTCTGCAGCAGGAGGGCTGATGGAGCTTCCCTTTCCTTCTCAGCCACTGGTAAAGAGCAGTGATGGAGGCAGGAGTCCAGCTGGAAGCATATGACCTCTGCTGCCTTCTCCATCCCCACGCTGGGATGAGTTACCAGAAGCAGGGTAGCTGGCTCAGGCCTCTGTGGTCCATCCCTTTGGCTCTTGCAGCTGTGCAAGGGCAAACCTGACCTTGCGGTCACTCAGTGGTCGAGTGTCCACTGGGTGTGTGACATCTCCAGCCTTCTCGCTGCAGATGCTGCACTCCTCTAGAGGTTTTGCTTTTCTACCCTCACTGAAGAAAGGGGGGGTCTTTTCCAGAAGCCCCTAAGAGTGAGCTCAAGGAGATGTTTTATGCAAGGTCGCAGCAAGGTGTTTGGGTCTGCCTCCTCACAAGATGTGAAGGTTAAAGGCAGGCTCTCAGCTTTCCACCGCTAATAACAGAAAGTGCCATGTAAGTGAGAAAGAGCCTAATTAGGGATTAATGAGAAAGGAGCCTGTGGTTTTATTATCCGTTGGACATGAGTACTGTGGATGAGCGAGAGAGGCTGCATTAGCTGCTTCCTGCTGAGTCCTTCCAGCAGGAAAGTCCTTAGCAGACTTTCTGCATCATTTAAGGCCGGGAGGTAGAGGAGGAT